ACCACACAGGTTAGACTATTCAGGGAGGTAAAAGAGAGATGTACAAGTTTATGATTTTTTGCAGTTAATATTTAGCTCTTATAGACATGCATGGCACAGCATATTATTGGAGCCAGAATTACCCTCTCTTGGAATGTCTTCTACAGGGATCTTCTGGTTTTCAAAAGTTTTGTTCTCTTTTCTGATTCTTGGTCACTCATGCTGTCCATGTCTCCGTTGATCTCTGAACTTGATGTAAGTGCTGATTAACTGCAAAAAGCGCTGCAGACCTTCCCTTTTCAAATCCTAGTCCCTGTGGGAAGGAAGTGGAAGCTGAAGGTTGTGCTCATGTTTTACTTAGTAGACTGGAAGTGTGCTTTCTTTCCCAGAGCTTTGACTTCCTCCTTATCTTTTTGGATTGTTACTTTGCATCCAGCTTAGTCCTTATATCAAGCATCAGTACCAGAAGAGATGTGTTTGCTGTTAAGAACCAGATCTTGGTGGTCTGTATTGCTAGCCAGAGGTTCCCAAGTGCATGTTCTTCTTTCTGGAAGCATGCTCAGCTGTATCCCCATAACATGGAATATCATCTGTTGGAGCTCCATACCCTTTGCCCCTTACCCTTTGACATCTCTATCTCATTTTCACAGATAAAACAGATCTTGGAATGAACCAATGAACCAACTTCTCTTTGTTTTCCATTAGTATCCTTTTGTGCTTAGGACTTACGTGGACAGGTTCCTCCATGTCTAAGAAGCTCAGCATGAGTGTTTGCAGATAATTTTTAGAGCTTTCACAGATTATGTTGTATCTTGAGACATTCAGTACTTAAAACTTCTTTGTTGCTTACTGTTAACCCAGCCACTGCAGAAACATCATGTTGCCTCATGATGGTTCCTACCTCTTGTATAGCTTCTGTTCAGAGTAAACTCTTCCCATGTATGGGTGGCTTTTTTAATATCCCCATATTCATAGGACCACAGGATAATTCAGGTTGGATTACAAGCTCAAGAGGTCTGTAGTCCAATCTCCTGCACAAAGTAGGGTCAGCTGTGAAGTCAGGGCAGGTTACTTACGGCTTCATCAAGTCTAGAAACAATACAAAACATGGGGCGTTAAATATACTCTCACTTTTGTATTTGAACAGGACACTGCCTTTTTTGAAGACCCCTGAGTTTTTTGTTTCGTTTGGGGTAAGGATTTTTGGTTCAGTACCTTCTTCTCAAAGACTATCCTATTGAATTTTTGGTTGTGTCAGGAAAAGTTGTGGTGGTGGTGAAGCCAGCTGATGTCATTTGAATATTCTTGAGTGAACAAGCCATGCGTTTGCATTTCTGAAAAGTGTTCTTACTATGGTAATGTGCAGAACTGTCTCATAAACCTCTAGTCATACCTTTCCTAGCTATGTCTCATAGCTGGGGACTCAAAATAGGGGAGAGAGTTTATCAAATCTAAACAAATGAAAGCAAAATACCCCCTCTCCCAGAGTTTGTGTTCTCCCCCTGAAGACCTAAATCATCCCAGAAGGGTTTGCTCAGGAAGGTAGATGAGCTGTGAACGTACATTTTTTTTTTTAAATTGTTTTTTTGCAAGTGGGAAGAGTCATTTTGAGTGAGAAGATTACTTGTCAGTATATGGAGATTCTTTCATATATGTTGTCCACATATGTATTTGCTATATGCTTATATTATGTGCCCTGAAGTCTGTAAAAAATTTTGAGTATATGTTTTAGATAAACAAGGTGAGCTGGGGATTACGAGTAAGGTAGTGCATAGTGTGTTCTGTGCCCTCTGCACCACGTGCTTGAGGCACTGAAAAGACAGGACGCAGGCACAATCTAGAGCATTTTTAGGGCTAAAGATGTCTCCGAATTTAATATATGATATATTTATATATGAATATGTTCTGGACAGCAGTTTTAGCAAGAACTGGAAGTTTTTCAAGAATCTTTCTTTCTCTGCTTAATAGTTTACCATTATCTTTATTTACAACAGTTTCAACAATATACACATATCTCATGGTTACTTCTGTTTTTTCTCTTAAAAGATGCTCCAGGTTCATTTCTACAGCTGAAAAGGCTGAATCCAAGTGGGTTATAAAAATTCATTGTTGTGTGGCATATTCTACTCAGTAGCACTAAATAACACAAACATGGTTGTTGTCGGTTTTTAAGGTGTGCCTTTTATATCACGGCTGCTGTGATCTGTCTGGAAACATTTCTTTGTATTACTTTGTTCGACCTGGGTGATTTATCAGGAGTTCTTGATTTTTTTTATTTTTTTTTTTTAGTTTCAAGGAAAAAGTGAACTTCTGCCAACAAATTTAAGTTTGGTCCACCCATGCTGCAAGAGAGCAAGAGCCATATGGCCACAATTAGTGTAGTTGTAAATGAGTAAGTCAGTCGTGGTGACAGGCATGGCATATTTACAAAGTTTTGTTTGCCTTCCTAACCACAGTAGCGCAGCTTCCTGTAAGAGTAGTGTGACTGTGTGTGGCTCTGCAGAAACCTGGATAGTGTTACTAGTTCTTGGTTTATGGTTAATTTTGACTTTAATTCAATTTTCACTTCAAGTATCAACCATAAATTTGAAACTAAATCTAAGCTGAAGAAAGGACTTCTATTTTTTCTCCAAACAAATGCTGATAAATAAATAATATAAATATGGGTAATGGTTTAAGGAAAAAAAACCCTCCTGACTGAGCAAAACTAATCACTAATACAGTCAAATATTATGTGCCCAAAGGCATATTTTTGTTACCTCAGTTTTAGCTGAATGTTTAAGGCATTCACTAATATATGTGCTCTGTGTTGGTCTGCCACACATGAAGAATTTTATAATTTAGGCTTTTTTGTCTCTAAAACTCTTTGGCTATTACAGTATTACAGAACAATCGTTAATAATTCTGAAAGGAGCAGAACATCTTTAAACGTAGATGACCTTTGTTTTGTGTTAAAATCTAGTTATATTTGCATAATTTAACTTGGTTGTATTTAAAGGTACTTAAACACAGTTTAAACAGCAACCACTGCTGAGGGCCGTTTTAGAAGATTGCGGTTTTATATACCTCAGCGCTGAGCCATTGCACTTATTATTTCAAAGGCTTTTGGTGTCATAGGTCATAAAGGTTACCAGATTTTAATTTGGATCAACTGCCTCAAATCTACAGCTCAGGTTTTTCTGCAGCTGTGCTTTTTAAAGATATATGGTTTGGGGTTTTTTTTCTTTCTAGCCCTGAGAAGGGATAAGATTTCCTTTTTTGTTATCACTTCGTTTTTTTCCCTCTTGTTTATTTTAACGTACAATTTTCTACGCTGGGTGAGTGTCATACAACTGGAATACCTTCTACTGAAAAAACAGGGAAAAGATCTGTCACAATGAAAGCTAAAGTCATCATGGTGGAGAGGGGAGCACACGCAGGAGTTTGCCTGCCTTGATCTCCTTCAGGTGCTTTGAACAAAGGCAACTTCAGCTCCCAGTTGGCTTCTTTAGTTAGAAGTAATAAGTAGATTACGTAGTAAGCTATCATTTCTGGTCATTGGATTCAGTGCTCTGGCCAGGTAAATGACCCTTCATATAGGACAAATTTTTCCAAATAATGCTAAATGCGTGTAGATGAGGTGCTTAGGGACATGATTTAGTGGGCATGGTGGTGTTGGGTTCACGGTTGGACTCGATGATCTTAGAGGTCTCTTCCAACCTTAATGATTCTATGATTCTAAAATCAAGCTCTGCAATATGTTTCAAAATTATAATCTATTCAGTTTCATAAAACTGAAGGGTATTTTTCTTGGAGATATAGCATAGCAAGTAAATGTTGGGGATGGCACACTGTATAAAAAAAATAAAGTAATTACTTACTTTGCCAATGTGTTATGTACATATTTGAATGTCCTGGATTTCCTACTGCTTCATGAAAATTTAAACCATCTGGATTTGGTTTTAGTTTCTGATCTTCTGCCATGACCCTTACAATCACCTAAGCTATTTTTATGCAGTATGTAATACCATTAGCTATCCAAGCTTACGAGTGTCTTTCTCGCAGTAAGCATAAGTATTCTTATCATGTACATATCTCCTGTACTTCAGTTTTTGTTTAAACATGGATTTGTTATTGGGTTTAGTGCTTTGTATTTAATGGTTTATATTTCAGAAACAGTCTCCTCAACTGAAAGTTCTCACAAGATTTTACCCCAGAGTTGTTAATCATTGACATACAATGGCAGAGGAACTTCAGAGCTCTAGGACTGAAGAACTATTTAATTACTCTAAGCTTTGTTGAACTATGTGACAAACTTTGGGACCTCTTTATTCTAATTTTATAGAAAAATAAAAACTATTGTGTTTTTGTTATAGGCGAGATGGCAGGCTATTTTCTGTACCTTTCACCCTCCCTAGCAATCTGTGTGACAAATTTTCGCTAAGTCACAGAATGGTCTTCTCAGTGTATCTCAAATTCATCTGTACGCTTTTGGTTTTCTTGGGTCAGGGTGTAATGTGGAACTGAACCTGGTATTTCTGATATGTAGCTCAAGACGACTGTTGCTTACCGAGGCTGTTCCAGCCATGCTTTCCAAATAATATATGTGGATGGGATTACTTTCCTTCACTTTTGGTCTTGTGTGGTGTCTGACCCAGAGTTGTATGATGGGAATAAAAGATCACATGGACATGCAGGCTCATTCTGTGCTCCATGTACACCTTAACTATGCTCTGTCTTCCTAATGTGTCACATGTGACAGAGACAAAGACTATATTGTTGTAGTGTTTTGTTTCCCCTGTGTGGTAGTTTACTTATGCAGTGGAAAGATACAGGTTTTGTATGTAAACGTGTTCCTTTCACATTTCAGGAGCATAGTGATCAGAGCTAGAGAACTCTAGTCAGCACTTAGCAATTAGTAACTCTGCTTTAATTGGATGGTCTTTGTTACTGGAAAGTAGTGTTTGCTTAAATCTCACATTAAATATTTCTTAAATTAACAGTTATTTTGTTTCTAAATATTTTTCCAATTCTCTCCCTAGATGGTAAAAGCAATCCAAGTTCTACGTATCCATCTGCTTGAGCTAGAAAAGGTTAATGAACTCTGCAAGGATTTCTGTAGTCGTTACATTGCCTGCCTGAAGACAAAAATGAACAGTGAAACTCTATTAAGTGGAGAGCCTGGAAGTCCTTATTCACCTGTGCAATCTCAGGTATGTTTCAAATACAGTTAAGTGTATTTTTGCTTAGATTTTCTTGGGAAGTTATAACTACACTTCTATTGCTATTAGTTTGCAAACAGTTTCTGCAGTTTCTTTCACTTTCTCAAAATCGGTTATTAAGAGTTGAAAGAGCTGTATTTTTTTTGTGCATACCTGTGTGCCACTGCCTGATGGACAAATTTGTTGAAATGTACCAGAACATAGAGTCACTTTTTTTGTCTGTCTTCCTTTTATGATTTTCCCGCAGTTCAGCAAATGGAGATATTCAGAATAGCCTGCATTTGCTATTTTGTTGGAAGGAGGCTAGGAAACAGTAACAAAGGAGAGGAAAAAAAATTCCTTGTTAAGAAGGTCTCCTTAGTCTAGACTGCTTCATTAAAATATTGAGATGGCTGATACTTTTTATACACAATCTGCATTCTGGAACAAATAGACAATGTCTGAGGGATTGTAGTTGCAATATTTGAGATGTATGGCATTGCATTTCACCTGGGGTGACTGTGGGTTCTGTTCATAACTACATTTCTATACATGTAAATCTCGGTTTGTATATTGTTGACATTACCTAAATGCAACAACCAATTGCATTTTTTGTAGTAAATTGACAACAGTTAATTAACTACAGTTAGTACATTATGGTCGATGCTTCTGCTGTTAGGTGCTGGAAAGTGAGCCCTGCCATCCGAGTACCTACTAGATATCTAGTCTTAGGGAATGGTCCTTCTCTGACTTACTAATGTGTCTGATGCTATGTATTCTGAAAAGCCTTAATGACTTTTAAACTTCACTGTCTCAACTCCTTACTTAGGTTTTAGTGTCTGGAAGTGTGGAAAGGAGAGTCCAAAATCGGAAAAAAAACAACTTTTAAAAGACATTTTTTGTATGTCTGTTACAGTCTTCTGTAGAGACAGAATTCAGAGGGACTGAATTTTGCATTTGGGAACAATAGAGATTATTCATACATATGAAGGAATGTGTAAGAGTTTGCATGGTCAGGGTTGAGTAAGAACTATCCTGAGCAGAATAAAACATATTGGGCATCTTGAATACTTAATACATTATTTTGAAATTGAAGGAATTAAGGTAATAACTAAACTTGTAACGCTTTGATGCTTGTAATAAGAGCATCAAGGGTCCATTTCATCCATCCCTTTTCCCTTGTGCCTTTGGAAACAGTTTCTCTTAGTATTATGTACCTAGAATCATTTCTCTCCTAAAATTTCTCAGGATAGTTTTATGTCTTTTCTAACAGTTGCTTTCATGAGGGTTTTCAAAGGTAATGGTTGGTGATAATGAGAAAAGTAATGTAGGTAATGATGAACCTCTAATGAAGTCTCTTTCTCTTTGAAGTTAATCCTGTGATTAAACTCCAAATGTATTTTTAGAGCCAAAATTACACAAGCATGCTTTATCTCCTTAAAAAAAAAAAAAAGAAACTTTTAAAAAAAATGCAAGCAACTAATTGTTTTATTTTTCTAGCAAATTCCAAGTGCCATTGCAGGCACACTCAGTCCCCAAGGGATTATGGTGCCAGCATCAGCATTGCAGCAGGGAAATGTAACTATGGCAACAGTAGCAGGTATGACGCAGTAAAGAAAAACTCACACCTTGCTATTCATTTTGGTTTCTTTTATAGTTGTTACAAAAAATACACAAATACTTTTAAAACTGTGTTTTAACTCTTAATACCTGAAAAGTTGTTATAATACAGTAAAGCGCCTTACTGGTTTCTGAACGTTCATTTAATTTATATGTGTAACAAGTATGCATATGTGAGTGGAGGTTACGTATATATAATATTAAGAGATCTTTCTGTGCAACACTACTTTTGTTAAAAGACATTTCAGAGACTGGGGTGTTTTACTCTTTCTTCCCCCCCTCCCCCCCTTCAAGAAAAGTATTCTGTTTGACAAAAACATGCATTACCTAAAATATTGCACTTGCTAGCTGTCTCATGCTCTGTGGAGTTTGGAACCACACCTACAAGTCTGTGAAATCATTGATGTCCAAGTTGTTCTACTATTGTATGGAGATGACATTTGAACTGGAATGTTTTATCTTGCTTCTAGGCAAGGTTAAAAAACAAACAAATGGAAGAAAACCCTTGAGTAGAAATGCAACAAAGCAATGCAGTCTGCTCCTACAGCATGTACTTGCAGAGAGGTTATCCTGAGACACAGTATGTGCTTTGTGGCTTTGGTCCCCACGACCCCCTATGCATTCACCAAGATTCTGTCACCTTAGTTGACCTGAACATCTAGGTATCACCCAGCTGACTGCCCTAACCAGTTGACACACATAGGTGTGGTTTTGGTGTTGTGACCCTTGTTGGCTGAAGAGTTAGCTCAGTTAAAACAAACTGATGAACTATTTTATAGCCTGATAGTCATGGTGTTTTCCTTTGAAAATAGATTTAAAGTGGCTAAAATACAGGGAAACATAATCAAATTTTTGCGGATGGAAAAAAGTTTAGTGTAGCAAAGAGCACATCTTACATGCTTACTAGAAAAGAATAGTTGATATATTATCAAAACTGTTGTATTGTCTGCAGTGCTGATGTGTTTGTGTGTTTAAAGAGAATAATATTTGAAGGGCTTTTACTTACCTATAATCTTTGTTGCTGTTTCATTTTAAGGGGGGACAGTGTATCAGCCAGTCACTGTGGTCACTCCACAAGGTCAAGTGGTGACACAAGCACTGTCACCTGGGACTATTCGTATCCAGAACTCTCAGGTTTGTTTCATGGGCTTCACAGAATAGAATTTTGGGTTCAAATAAATCTCACCGGTTTTAAGAGTTTTGGTTTAATTTGACACATTGTCAGAATGAACTCTGTGTACACACACATAGTAACTCATGTAAAATTAATGCAAGCACTGCTATAGGAGTTACAAGTTGTATAACATGACATAAGGTCCCAGAGGGACCTCCCTTGCCATGACAGGTCATCATAGTTCCTACCTGTTAAGTATCTTTTTTTACTGATGAAAGAAAAGTATAGGTACATGGATTTAAAAATAAAATAAAAAAAAAAAACCACCAAACCAAAAGATCCTCTGAATTAAATAGACACTTTTTTAATGATTAAAACTCTTCTAGTTGTTGAATTAGGTTTATGGCTGGGTAGATTTACTATATTGCATTATGGTGCCACACTGCTGTTGTCAGAAATTTGACTTTTTATCATGATGGCAACCACTAGTTCTGTGAAACTGTATGTATTTCAGAATTTATGTATGTTGAGAAGCATTTTGCCATAAAACCTTCAAAATACTCAGTTGAGACTATGGGAGATCCTCATATTGGGCTCATTATATCATACCCTAAAAGATAAGGGCCAGCAGTCTTTTTTGGAGAGGCTCTTAAGAGTTGGATCTGGAGAGCTCAGAGAAACAACTAAGGAAAAGGAAACATGAGAACTAGACCATCTTCAGTTATGGAGAACCTTGCTAGCTTTCTCTTGGAGCAGGAAGTGGTAAATCAAATCTTCCAGGAATCTGGAATCAATTAAAAATGTGAATGAGGAGCTACCATCTCCACAGCATAGGATCTGTTGGTAATCACTGACTCACTGTCTTCTCTTCTTCCTTCTTCTGACCTTCCAATCTAAAAAGTATGCTTAGAGTATTCTTATCTTCTTTTTATTGGCAGTAGCATGTATGTAGTTGCCCATATTCTTCCCTAGAATGCATGCAGTTCTGTTCTCAGATACCTTTCAGAAAGAAATGAGTAAAATTAGTCTCCTAGACTGAAATGTTTTTGAAGAAAAATGCTTTTTATACCTCTGATGGAAAAAAAAATAAAATAAACAAAAAAAGGACTTGACCTTCTATATATATCTGTGGCTACTCTTGATGTTAGTAGGAATCTCTAAACCCACCTATACATAGGTTTGGACCTGTATTCCTTGTCACCCATAGGAAATCCTTCTTCAAATTCTTCTCTTTTCAGTGTTTCAGAATGCTGTGGAGGTAAGGGAAAAATATTGGGGGAGAGCTATTGAAAGTTCATTATAAAGCCTCCATATACAAGCAGATTATTTAGAATGTAAAACATTATTTTGGAAATGAAAGTATGCTCCAAATATATATTTGTTGTAATTTGATAGCTTAAACCTCGTTTAAAACTTGTTTCGTACAGGACATAGACATAAATACTGGCTTAAAGAAATTGCTCCGTATTGTCTGAAAAACGTGATTTAGAATGATTTCAGTTATAATTGTCTGAAATATAATCTCATACGCAATTTATATGCTGTTTCTTCTTACCTCTGAGTAAGCATTTAAGAACATTCCCTAGCATTCAGATAACTGATGTGCAAATTATTTGATCTATCCATAGGAAATGAAAAAGAAAGCAAAAGTGAGAAATAAATATGAACCTTTAGGAAAATAGTAAGAGTGTTATAAAGTGAATTAAGAGTTCTGCCATATATATATATATATATCTTCTTGCTCTTTGAGAATTTAGATGCATTTATATAGCATGACCATTAGCATCTTTGTTTGCAACTCTAGCATAATAATTAATTTTACTTCAGGTCCTTCCTTTAAGTCTTGAATCAGTACTATTTTACAGCTTCCATAGTTGTTTATGTTTGCACACAGTGAGTATATTCAGCATTGTGTTTTTCATTGTGTTTTTCAGTTGCTCTTCACATGTGCAAGTGACTACGTAGGGTGACAAGGCAATCGGATCCCTAGGGTGGCGTAGATTAGTACAGAGGATCATTAACCTGACATGTACTACATAGGTGGATTTTATTCTAAATTATAGTAAATTGGCATTTGGCTGTTGTCACAGGATCACACGCACAGCCTAATAACAGCTGCAATTCTTGAAACAGAAGTTACGTGAAATGTGAAAACTATAGAAATCTGATACAGCATTTTCCCTGAATAAAGACATTTTGGAATGCTATTGTAGGAGAGCTGCTATTGTAAGTCTTCCCTAGCAAATAAAGTAGCTTTTTATAATCGGCATGCCTCAAGCCTAATTTCTTTTCATTCCTTCTATAAATGAGTTATTCATACATTGATACAAAATACTGCTATTACTATGTTAACTGCCTATTTCTTCTAAAATTATATGTGCAGCTTCAGTTGCAATTAAACCAAGATCTAGGCATCTTGCATCAAGATGATGGCTCATCAAAAAATAAAAGAGGAGTTCTTCCCAAGCACGCTACAAATGTGATGAGATCATGGCTTTTTCAGCACATAGGGGTAAGGACTAAACATGATCAGGAGTCACGGGTTTTTGTGTAACTCTTATGTGGTCTGTTATGATTTTGCTTCATAAAGAAGGTGAATTTATTCTGTTGTCATTTGTGTAATCTCAGTTCAGTTTTCCCTGAAGTCATTTGGAGTAGTTCCACAGTCAAATGTCGGTTGATTTTATTATTTTAATAAGTATGTTACATTTTTACCTCATGATCTCAATAAACATTGTTAAAAGGGATCTTTCTTCATTTCATTGTGTTGAGAACTTAATGCTCTCTACACCCTGGTTCATGGCACAAGGAAAAGTAATTCCATCTGTGTTTTGTGGGGTGTTTTTGTAGAGGAGAATTTCAAATTTTCTGGCTTTATCTGCTTTCCAACAGTCCTTCTAATGTGTACCAAATGTATTAACTATCTACTTGTGCTTTCAACAGAATGTCTTTCCTTTGCATAAATACTTAGCCTGAAAGGATAAATGGGTCTCAAGTTATATCACAATGTTTAGTTGATATTTTGTCTTTTACAACTATTTTACAACAGACAAACGATACAGGGAAACTGCATGTACGCTTCTTATGTTACGTACGCTCTTCATCCGTTTAGTTCAGAGTAGCTTTATTTAACTAGAAAATGCTTGTCAGTACTCTCATATGACATTGCCTTTAGACAGCATAACTAATCAGATCGTATCACATGCTGTGTTGCCCAGGCATCACGCTGTTTAATAAAGACTGTCAGCCATGAGAAGCTTTTTCTTCTGAATTACACATCAGCAGTTAAATGGTATCATACACACTTTCAAGGATAAAATCAGTTTTGTGTAGTAAAGCATTCTTTGTTAAATGATTTTTATCTATAAAAGTTTGAGGTTTCTGAAGTTTGTTTTTTAACAAGTCAGATGGTCTTAATCTAGCAGTTTTAATCGGTTGTAATAAAGGAGTCCTTATTTTTGATGAGGAGATGAAACAAGCTTATGCCTTTCTTTGTTTGCTTTTTTTTGTCCTGTTTAGCATCCATATCCAACAGAGGATGAGAAGAAACAGATTGCAGCACAAACAAATCTGACACTACTCCAGGTTAACAATTGGTAAGAGCAAAAACTCTTACGTAATGTCTGTCATTGTCTCCACTTGCTTGCAACATAGAGAAATCGTTAAGAGTATAACTTGGACATCTGGAGTTGAACTTACTGTTCTACATATGTTACAAAATATGTATAAAAATACAAGAATTATGCACTGATACTCAAGCATATTATTTTTATAGTAAGGTATAATAATACTTATGCCATTTTAAATTATATAAGGACTCCAGAAAACTTTGCAACATTAAGGAATTACATTCTGTTCTATTGCTGAAAGAGATGGCAGTACTCTCATGTCTCTTCTGCAAGTAAAGAAAGTGAAGTTTAAAGGTGTTTAGTGACTTGAAGCTCTGAAAAGTGTTCTTTGGTAATCATGGGTGCAAATGTTTAAGAAGTTACTGTCAACAGATACTCATTCTGCTCTTGTATCAAAGGATGCTATCCTCTGAGCAGTGATGTCCGAATGGAGAGTGTCAGTACCTTCAGTCCTCTAGTTCACGGTTCAACATGTTTTAGCATGTCTTATCTTCACTAGAGGTTTAAGGTAATACACCTGCCCCTGCAGAAGGAGGAGCAAGGGTGCTGACATGCATCCTATTCTGCTTGTGGTATTGGTTCCTAAAATTATTGCAGCTAAGTCCAACAGGGATCTTCCTCAGATTTCAAAGGTGACGCTGGCTGCATGGCTGCAGAGGGGTCCAGTGGGGAAATACTCAAGACAGTGGCAGTACACTGGTTCCAAAAGTGGAACAGTGTAACTATGCCTGTGTGACACGGTAGTAACGGAGCTCTGTGGTACTGGGATCCAACTAATGTCTCTGCAAAGCATTGCATTACATCATGTGGACCTGCCAGCTGCACCCTACTTCCTTCCATTGCAGGTAAAGATGGGTCCTGGATGTGTTTTGTCAGATGTAGCAAGGGATGCTATCCTCAGTCAGAGGTCCTTGCCACAGCTAGCTACATTGAAATTGATTCAGTTAACTGCTGGTAGCTATGTGAGAGGTGGCTTAAGTATTTTCTTGTTCACTAGCAGAAAGGGGAAGGGCAGCAATTAGCATGCTGAAGTAAACAAGTGAAAATCAGGGAGCAAAAAGGAACTGGGAAAGATCTGAAAAATGTGTTTGCTGTTGTCTCCTGGATCAGGAACCAAACCGTGGAAAGCCAGCAAGCCTATCAAATACGTAATGTGGGAGCTTAAGGACGTAAATGAAACCAGACCAAACAAACTAGGTTAGGCAGGGGCTAGATTTTAGGTGAACCCTAATGAGAGGAGTATCGGCTTTCTGAGCTGTGCTGTCAGCAAGTTTTCTGGTGCTTAGTTTTTAATAAGATCTTGAAATGTACATCTGTCATGCTGTCTGGAGAATTTCCCCTTCTGAGGTGGGGGAAAAAATGCTGCTAGCAGCAAAATGATAGAAGTACTTTCTTAGCTAGTTTCCCAAAATCAAAGGATGCCAGTGTTCTAGGAGCAGCTTTACTCATTAAGAAGAATGTCATGCCAAGCTGGTAGAGAGATTTCATAGTCCCAATTTTTTTTCCCCCACTGCATAGTTTGTGAATCTGAGAGAGAATTTACAGCCAACTGGTCATAAGTACTTGTTGCCTTTGATTGTGTTTAGGTTTATCAATGCTAGAAGGCGAATTCTTCAGCCGATGCTGGATTCCAGTTGTTCTGAAACTCCAAAAACAAAGAAGAAAACAGCTCAGAACCGACCGGTTCAGAGGTTCTGGCCTGACTCCATTGCCTCAGGAGTTGCTCAGCAGCAATCTAATGAGCTCACGATGTCAGATGGTAAGGAGAACCGGCTAAACCACAGATTATAAAGTTAATTTCTCTGTAACAGAGAATTGAAGGGTTTGATGCCTTTGGGGAGAGGGGAACTTCTTGATATTTCACTATAAATGTGTTTTTAATCTGGAAAAACATAACAGAAATGGGTCAATTTTTCCCTCTTTAAAAATGTTCTGTGTTTTGGGGGCGTATTCTATTGGAATTTATGTTGAGACTGATGCTTTTGTTTCAAAAGTTCTGAAACAACAGAACAAAGGTTAGATGTACAACTAAGTTCTCTCAGTATACTGTGTATGCACATCAGTAGCGTTCTGTTTGATTAGCAGTATTGGTCTGCAATTCCAGTTTCGTGACTCCCCATCCTGTTCACATTCCTTTCACTATTGCTAGAGGGTCTGAGCACCTGCAATTCTGTGTATGCCTCGTGTGTCAAGTTGAACATTGAGAAGCAGAGAAATGTAATAGAGCCTCCAAAGACTTTGACTGAAGTAACTTCCTTAGCATCAGATCAACCAAATAGGCTCAATTTAAGAAAGATAAATAACTGCTTTAATCTCAGGACCATCCTTTCCGTCCTGCTGCCTGCTGCTTTATTCCTTTCCAGTTTGTAGCAGCTTTTCCCTCAGCCTCTGCTGGATCTGACAACAGCTTTATCCCTTTAAGTCGCTTTGAATCTCTGTGAACACTCCCTTTTTTTTGCAATGCATTAAGCTGGAATACTTTGCAGAAATGGTCTTGCGATGACTTGATTGGGGAATTGCTGTAATGGGTGTCCATAACACACCTAAGTTTAAGATTCCTGGCCAGCTTAATTCTGGCATTTCCTGATATTTAAGTGTTTGACAACCTCTAAAGCTTTTATCTTAATTTAGTTCCTTAGGTTTTCTTCCTGTTCATTGGAAACAAACTCTGTTATATATAAATATGTATTACTTAAAATTAGAAACCGAGAAAGATGCTAAAGTACTACGATTGTGCTTCTCCAGGTGCTGTTGTAACAATTACAGCTCCAGTCAACATGAATGTAGACAGTCTCCAGTCTTTGTCATCCGATGGTGCTACTTTGGCTGTTCAGCAAGTTATGATGGCAGGGCAAAGTGAGGATGAGTCCGTAGACAGCGGTGAAGATGATGGAGGAGATCTCTCAACAACAAATATCAGTGGGCTGGTCTTGGATAACAGCGATTCTCTGCAGTAGGAAGCAAGAGAGTGTGACAAAATGCTTAGGAAAAAGAATGGACTGACTGACTGACTGTTTTTATAGTTTGCACAGCAAACATTTTACACAAGTTTTATTTCTAATATGTTTTATATGTAGATATAGAAGGGTGCACTTTTTTGTATTTCATAGTAAGCTTAAAGAGTGTTTTGCAGGTGCAGCAACTTCTTTCAAATGTGTTTTTTCATTTCTTTTCCTTTTCTTATTTCAGAAAATTGTATCTAGTAATATAAAGAACCACATAAGCACCCCTTTGTTCTATGAATTGGAAGTGCTGCAATTTCTAAAGAATTATGCAGTTTCAATTAGTGCTGTTATTTAACACGGCTCTTGATGGGCAGGTGATGTAAATTTAAAGCATGTGACACTAGTGTGTGGAACTTGATCATTAAGTTGGATGCATATATTTGAAAGATGCTTCTGCACCTTAAAAACTGCTAGTCTGAGGTGGACAGCAACACACATAAAAAGAAAATGTTGATGTGTGATTCAGTAGCGAATGTATGGCAATTTAAATAAGTTTAGTTTCTCTCATAGTCCGTGAGCCTGTTTATCATTTGCTATAAAAACTCCTATTTTTACCTTGCCGGGGTTATTGGATAAAAAATATTTTTATAAATTCACTAGGAATTGGGATGACGACTGTATTAAGCAGGAGGAAAAAAAAAAAAAGAATTTCCAGAGGGGAAAAATAAATGGTTAGTATTCCTATTTGGAAGGTCTGAAAACTGACCAAATTTAATAAACAAGCCTATGCTAGCATTCTATGATTCTCAGCTATCCCACAGTGATATACTATATTTGATAATAGCATAAGAAGGGCCCACTCTTTGATGGGATTTTGATATTGTCAAACATTGATTTATATTATGTGTAAACTAATATTCAAATTACATTAACTCTGTATCTAGACTTGTATCTGAAGATATTTGCTAAATGAGTATTCAGGTAAGTAAATTCAAATACCCACAACTTTTCCAGTTATTAGAGAAATTTAACAGTTTATAGTTTGTACAACTGAATCTGAAAAATGAAAAGTTGCCTATTATACAGTCATGAATTCTGCTATCACTCTGCTATTTTATTGCATTTGAAATATTTTCCCCTAATACAAAAAGAAATATAACTTACAGATTTTTATAAAATTTCTTCAAATCTGAAGGTTACTACCAGAATGTACAGCAGGCTTTATTAGAGTAGAAAATCCTTGTGTGTCATTTAAAAACTAAGAGCTAGTGATGAAAACACTTTTTTTTGTTGTTGCTGTAACAGTTCATTTCTTTTTTTCCTGAAGTTTGGAGTCTGTGTCTGTCTATCCATGAACACTTACTTTTGAACTTTGTATTTCCCGTTGTTAAGTACAAATAACAGACTCCAAGAGTCTCACGGTGAGATCAACGTCCTCTTTTCCCCCCTGTCCATTTGTCACAATGTTGGGTTAGATCAAAGCCAGAACTCCCTTCTGATTTAGACCAAATCTAGTTGCATTTCTAACGTGACAGGGAAAAAGATGTTAGCTTTTAGAATCTGTAGGCACTGTATTTGAACAAAGCCCTTTGACAGATGCAAATATTTAATCGAATACTTAATTTCTGCTTCACAAAACACTTAGGCATGCGCTTAGGTCGCATTGATTTCAGTAGGATTAACGCATGTACTTTTTGACATGCTTAAACAGTTGGAAGCTGGTCTTTAAAGATTGTCTTCCAAGGCAAGCATATGTTGGTATGAAGAAAAACTTCAGAAAGAAATGTCAGTAGCATTGGCATACATACGTGGAGAATAATACTAGTTTTCAATGACTAGTAGCTATTTTGAAGAATTGGTGTTGGGTTTTACTCGGCACAAGTGATGTTTCTGCTATGGCTTTCGCTTATTCCTGGCTGAGGATCTTGCTTCTTAGTTCAAATGCTGTAGTGATCTACGCCAGCTGGAGTGGTAATCGAAAGAATTTGTTTTCGTCTAACTTCTCTGCTTTGCCACTAATGTGCAATGTTTGTTAAAGAGCACAGTAAATGAATAATGAAAGATCTAATCAGGAAAGCTTTGACATAGCATAACTGTCTCAAAGGCTATTGTCAAATCCAGTTTGACCCCAAAACATTTAAAAAGACTGATATAATGTACAAATTAGGCTCCTTTGGAAACATTCAACCTACTGCTCCTACAAAGGATACCTGAGATGACTAGAACTGAGAGACAGATTCTGTATTTTTCTTTTTAGTTGTTTTTGATTTAATTCCGTAAGTGCTTCATCACCCCCACAGTTTCCATTATATAGTAGGTTATATTTGTTGGTTTGTTTGGGGTTTTTATTCAGCTACCCTTGTTCATATTTAATAGTGCATTAATCTTTGTACTTCTAGCACGTAGGCAGATGAATAGTCTACTTCTCAGTGCGTACAGGCCTATGGACAAATAGGTACTTTTCCAAATCAACCTGTGCTGGAGGAACAGGCCATTTCTCACGATCTCCTTTCCCTCCCTGACCAGTTGTTGCTGCCTCAGATCTACCAGCAGAGCTTTCCCCAGCCTGCTTTGAGGTAGTCTAGGAAGCAGCTCAGCCAGCAGATCTGTTAGGGTAGCAGGTAGCCAGCAGTGAAGGGAAGGGTAAACCAAAATGGGCAAAAAACCCAAACTTCTGTGGTTTGGAGATAATGTAGCAATGGGCATTTGCCCACACTTCAAAACTGTGAGAACTGAGATCTTAAAAAGAGAATATTAGAACAATTTAATATCTATACAGCTGGCTGGGAGAGGGTTCAGGAATATGTAGTTTATGTGTCACTTGGAACTCAATTGGAAACAACCAGGCATCAGGTTTTGCAAACTTCTGAAAGTTTATTTTTCAGAAAGAAACCGTTATCTGGTTAGCTTTCTTATTCCCCCCCACCTTATGTGCAGCTGGAGCTTTATTCTTCTGAAACATTTGCGACCTTGTCTTCAGCTAGTTTATCAATACCTGATAAGACAGAATTTACTGTGAAAGGGGGAATGTGGAATAGTTTTGCTGTCAAATTAGAAACATAAAAACATAAGGACGTGGATTCCTAAAATTGAAAAGGCTTTACCAGTGTAGTCAAAGGTATCGCTTAACATACGGAACTCAAACCTTGTCTTTTAATTCAGTGAGAATTCTGTAGGGTATGAACTGCACAGAAGTGCTTGTTCTTTTAACGATTTAAACAAAACAAAAAAAAAATAAAAGTATCCTTCCTTTTTTGCTGTGTAATAAAGATTGCTGGTTTAAGCAAAGCATCGCTGTTCAGGAAAGGTACATGTTTACAGTAGTTAAAAGTCTTTATAGGGGACCTAACTTTAAACCCATATATAATTTCCCCCACCCCCAGTTAAAGTCATGTTCATATGCAATAGAACGAATTTGTTTTTAAAATCAATGTAATTCTTCTGCAATTATGATTATTGAAGTTTTTAATTTTTTTTTAACGTAATCTAGATCATTAACCCAAAACAGGGTTATCAGTCCGATTTTTCCAAGATTTCTGTAACAGGCAAGGCAGCTTCCTGTTCTTTAACTTTAGAAACATTGCGTTTTAGCGAATCAATTCCAAATTGATCAGGATATATTTTTAAATGACTGTTCCAAAGAAATAATCTTGTTGGAAAACATTTGGAATCGACAGGCGTGGCTCTGGCTCTGCAGAGGGTTTCCTGGATGTGGATATTGGGTCAAAGTGGAGTCCTGCTGACCTCAGGGAAACTCCATAAGGCTGCATGTCAGGCTGCGTTTACCTGCAAGAGAATTGGTTCCTTGTTCTGGTCCCTCATCACTATTAGGAACTTCTGTGGAGCCCTCCAACTTCATCGTGCCTGCATACCTAGGTTTTCTTCCAGTGGAAACCAGGGTGTGGACGAAGGGCTTAGAAGGGCAGGAGTGTGTGTTGACCCGGAGTGCGCCACAGACCGTTTTGATGTTCAAAATATGGCCGGAAGGCAGACCTACACCGAGGAATTAGAGTTCCCAGTTCCTGTGCTTTAAAAGTAGCTTCAGGTTTATCGATAGTCTAGTGGAGTAGGGCCACAAAGACTTAGTGCATGAATAATTATCTATTTGTTTCTCTAATCACATGGAAAAAGAATTAGAAGGCAGCTCAGCTTCCTGACTTTATGAACTTGACAGCCCAAAGGATGAAACAAAGCCTTTCCAAGGGATTATAGTTTCCTAAAACCATTAGACTTGTAGCACTTAAAAAAAACAAACAAAAAACCAAAACACCCTGGTATTTTGAAAAATTGGAACACATGCATTTAATTGTAATTCAGGTTGATTTAAGATCTATTTTCTGAAGCTGAGTCGTCTTGGGAGAAAAAAATGAATAAGTATTTGTCTATGCAAGACATAAATGTCAAAAATGTGTGACTTGCCCATTTTTAGGTGCTGTATTGTTATTGTCTTTCTGACTTCTGTTACTTTGATTAGTCTCTTAAACCTTTCAGCCTTATATTCAGCTTAGTTTTCAGAGTTGAATAGGCAAAATCTAGTTTTGAAATCCTGTTGGAAATGTAACTAACCTTCATTCCCTCATGAAAATCTCGCGTGTTAAACAATTAAGTGAAATGTTTTGGTTTTCTAATAATAAATTCAAACTCGCACCACCTCCTAAAAACAGAGCATATCCATGAAAATGCAGGTTTAATTGTAGTGTGCAAACGATCAAATCATCAGCCTCGTGCTGAATACACTTTGCTCTTTGCTGTTCGATGTGGCTGAAGAGTAAAGCAGGTTGGTTATGCCAAACTCAAACACAGTGTGGATTCCTTCCCCTGCCTCCCCCCCCCCACCCCCCCTTGGCTTGCTAACCTCCTTCAAACAGGTTTTGGGTTGTTTAATTTTCAAGTCCTAAAGTAACTTGATCATCCAGTGTAAAGTGTAGTGAAATTGGCACTAATGTGCTTTTAAGTGATTGCCCAAATCATGTTATTTGTTCATTCTTGTCACCTGGAAATATAAAATCCGTTTCCTTTTCTGTGACTTAGTTCTTTAGGACCTGCTGACTGATCACAGCTGCTTTTGCCAGAGAAAAGCAAGGTGCGAGAAAGCAGTGAAACACCTTACCAACCTTGTAGACTACTATAAAGATACTGACTTCATGTTAATAGAATCCAGCGTTTTCAGGTCATGACAGAAGTCGCCCATAAATCTCTCCATGTGTTAGCAACATTTGGTCCATACAATCGACAATCTTTAAAATGTGAACCCTGTGACTTTTTTTTTTTTTTTTGCCTTGGTTGTTAAGGGATTTTGAAGCAACTGATCTATCAAGGGATAAAATTAAAAATCAGAATATGCTTCATGGATGGTTTATTTTTACACTACTGTTCTCTGTGAGCTGAAAAAGCACATTTTTAAAGCAAAGCATTCGCATTACTTTAACATTAGCAGTATTGTTTGGCTGAAAGACGAGTTATGTTTTCAAGAAATCTCGAGCATAGTTTCAAACTAGTTAACCAGTTCTTCAAACTAGTTAACCAGTTCTTGGCCAGGGACAGTCCTTGGCCTTTTTATTTGTTTGAGTTTTCTTTTTTATGCAAATGAAGAAAAATGTTTACTAGTTTTTACCAGTATGGGGATTTTTATTACGCTTTTGTCATGCAGGAGCAGCTTCGATGAAAGAAAGAATTAGCAGGTAAATGGTCCATAATGTGTGTGACTTTGGGGTTTTTTTGTTGTTGTTTCAAAATTGTTAATTAAAATGGCATGGACATCAAACTTTCAGTAATGGTTCCAAGCATATATGGTAGCGACTTACTTGAAAAGACTTCCCCTTGTGCGAGTCCCGTGTGTTAACGTGTTTAGCCAGATAGCAGATACAAATGCAACGCATTTGTAAAATATTACCTTGTTCTTCTAGATCAGAACTCTTCAGGAAGTGAGCAGCCTTTTTATTACAAGGCAGCGATTCCTCTCTAGCAAGAAGCTCAAACTGGTTTCATCCAGCGTGTATGAGTCTTACTCAGCAAAGATGGAGACAGACGTGGTTGCTCTGAAGAGAAGATGTACTTCTGCTCAGCACTGAAGCATGGTTTATTCCTACTCTTCCTTCCCCGGCGTCTGGCGCGGTGACGTCCAGGTGTGATCCCCAAACAGTACAGCCCGGAGCCCGGTACACCTGGCTGAAGGGGTCCTGCCGCGTGGCTGTGCTGGCTAGGGCTGGTACAGCCTCCTGATGCCGTGCCAGATCTTTACAGCTTTTTTACTTACGCCAGGATACGTCCCCAAGGATCTTGAATTGTATTTTGTTTTTAAAGGGTTAGTCTGTGATTAACCCAGTAGTATGTGTTCTAGACACGGGGGTATTTGATCATTTCTTTGTCTGACATTAAAACAGTGCCTGAGAATAACTCCTGGTGATACCGTTGGAAATAACTCCGCTGCTGCCAGGGAGCAATTTTTTCCTTAACCTGAAGAGAATAAAAAAAACAAACAAACAACCAAAGAAAACTGTAAAGCAGATTATTTCACCTAAATTATGTCCAGTATAGTGTATTCCTAGTCTGTCGGTTTCAAATTCCCCTGAAAGATGAATCCCCTTCTTCAAGAAGGCGTTACAGGAGTTACCAGCATAGTCATAAGCAACTGGTGAGCCTGTTGGCTTTTGTGGAGCACCTGTTTACGAAACAGTAATCCTTCAGTATGCAGCTTAGGGCTGTTTCTAAATACCCCTCTTTGTAGAAAACCAGGGCAATATCCTCAATGCTAAAACGAGGGAAAATAAACTCCACGGGCAGTGTAAAATGAGGATGCTGCAAAAAGTAACAGATAAGGCTGGGACGCATAGTAGGTGCTGCATTATTTATTCAAAATCCATATTTAAATTCATGCAAGTTCAGAGTGTATGTCATGCAAGTATCCAAGGTATGCAGGATTAAGCCTGTGGTGTATTTAAAAACCAAAATGACATCACAAACCACTGTTTAGATACCCTACTAAAATCCAAAAGCAATGTGACCTTTGTAGGTCAGGTTTGGTTTGTCTTCCTCATGCAGCTAAGATGTGATCTAGAGTTTATGAAGTAACCAGGGAAAATCTATGGATATTTGTCATCTCTGTTGGTCTTTGGACTTTTGTGTCACTACTAGCACAAGTCAGAAGATTAGGCCCTTGGACCTACTCCTGACCCTTATTCCTAGCACGCTTTTTGTTAAGTTGATCGCCGAGTCCTAAACTGATGCATATACTAAATGTGGATGCGGTAATAAAATTTAATTTAGAGACATTTTTGTTAAGATCCAAGCATTTTTAAACTTAGGGTTTTTTTTTAATAGTTGTGAAAAGTATGCAGCTCATACTTAAAAAGCTAGTGATTGACTTACGCCATTTTTGCTGTGCCCCACGCCACCCCCCGCAACCTTTCACTATGAGCTACAAACCACAGAGACTCTCCTGAATGTCTAAACGTTCATCAAAATGTGTTTACTATCCGCTTCTGCGTAGCTCCGTTTATAGCCTTGTTTGGCCTTGAAGATTGAGGCCGCTTGCTTTCAGCAGAGGCTAGCACACAGAAGAGAGGAGGGGACTTAATTATATGTGTGATTACATAAGCAAAATCAATTACTGCACAGGTGCTGATCTTTCTAAGATACTTAGGAGTACGTATGGTTCCATGGGTGAGATCCAAATTAAGGCCAGGAAGGGGAGACAGCGCGTGAGCATTTCTGTTACTGGTGTCTCACTGTATTTTTATATTGGAACAAGAGGGTGGGGGGGTCGGTTTGTTTGTTTTTTGGCAGCTGATTCTGATTAACTTTCTTAACTCGGTACGATAGCTGGATTGAGACCTGAAAGCTCTTGGAAACTTCACCAAATGAAACTCGGAGATTTTGAGGAACTGGGTTGGCATTTGTTAGGCAATACCTGCGCTGCCTTTTCAGCTTTTTAGATGCTGGGGGAAACGCTACTCCTGACTCACTTGTAAATGCAGTGACGCTTCAAGCAGCTACAGAAATAATAATTTTCCTCCAAGATTCTTCATTCTGCTTTCAAACAACCGGTTTTGTATTCCTGTTCGTGGTTTGGTTTTTTTTTCTCCCCCCTTCCTTTCCTTGAAAGCTGGCACCAGTTAATCCTTGATTACATGCCCTAGGCTTTTTCTGTGTCTCTTGAGCTTTTCAGCTGTGAATAGTGTTGAATAATGCCTCCACAAATCACTCCAAGATTCAAAGCCAGCTTTGCTGGAAAAAGCCCAACAACTTTACAGAACTGAGTTGTGGAGGCTCCTATGAATGCAGTATTGGAATGATAACTAAAAATAAGCTGTCCTTAGCGTAGATGCACAACATTAAAGCTAAATCACTTTAGGCCTAAAACCATTTGTACATTATTTTCCCAGATGAATGTGTGTCATTTTTGTCACGTACATGTTTTTTTATAATGTTTGTGTTTGCTCCAGTAAAAGGTCTTAGGCATAGAAATGCATATTTTAATACTCTGCATCACTAAATATGCACATCTTAGAGAAACATGCAAAATCCTCCCTATTAAATCATGCAAATCCTTAATTTAAAGAAATTGCACTTACTAAATGGTCAGAAAAATCCATTTCCATTTTAAATTTCAGAAGCAAAATATATCCTGCATCAAGTGTGTAGTGAAATATCAAGTGTGCCCTGAAACTCCCGACCAGTAACTCCCTGTTCTTGTGCAGCCCCTTGCTTGCTGTTCTCTAATTTTGGCTAAGATAACCCCAGTGTCAGCTCCTCTGCTCTTCCCAGAAGACATCTGTTACAAATGCCAAATCTACGTTTTTTGGTCCCCCCTGCCCACCCACATGGAAGAAGGAGAGGCTGTTATCTGTAACGCAGAGAACATCTAACGATCGGGACTTCTCTTATTACCCTGCAATATCGTTTGCAGTTTCTTCTAAAACACCTCCATGATTTTTCACTGTGATATTGAACCAAAGGGATATGGGAAGAAGTCGCGTTTAAAGAATCTGCTTCCGCTCAATGTCCTGGTGTAGGTCAACTTTTACTTCATAGTTTTTCTGTTGACCCGATCACATTTGTGTGCGCGAGTTTGTGCCGTTTGCTGGTTAGCATGCTTGCACCATTGCCACGCCAGCAGGCATGTCAGGGCAACTGTATACGCCTAAAATTTCCTGTAAGGAACACATTCAAAAGATAGTGTCAAATTTTACCTCTCTCCCTGTCCCCAAATTTTAAAGAAAAAGTATTTCTGGGGAAGATGCCATCGGTCCGTTGCCTATACTGAGTGGTACGGTTTAGTTAAATGAGGGGATCCTCTAGGAAACCTCTCTCACATTGCTCTCATCCTGATGGGAAATCACGAGTGCAAAACCTGCCACAGGATCAGGGTTTCTCATAATTTAGGAGCATAATACCCAGACAAAATGACAGCCAGCCATCCCCCTAAAGCCGGGCTTTACAGATGCAGGCTGGGGGAGCGGAGCAGCAGGGATGCTAAAGCAGCTTGGTGAACCACCCAGAAGGAAGTCACCACTTCTGGCAGGGTGTCGGGAAAGGAGGAGGACTTGGGCAAACGCTTTAACTCCTTGGCCCTGGGTATAGCTGTGCCGAAAGGACACCTCCTAATGGGCTTTCACTCATGAATATTTTACCCTAGTATTTTACAGCCTCGTGAGGCAGGAACGGAGAGGGCATGTTAAAAGGACTGATGCCCAAAACATGGTTCTACTTAAATCAATGATTAAATCATTAATACAATGAAGAAAGGCCCCGCCAGTTCCACAAATAACTAAGCAGCAGTAATGATCCTTCACAAAGTTATGGTACACCAAAGAACACAAACCAACCCCCCCAGACTTGATTGTGCTGGATGTAAAATTAGTTCTTTTTAGGAGCTGCAAATTTCAGCTTTTGACTCAATTTTCAGGGCTAGTTTAGGGATGCACAAGAGTCTATATGCTGCTTTGCACTTAAGAAACAGGTATGGCTCCTTACCTGCAAACGCGTGCCTGGCTGCCACGCAAAATTACAGCGACCACGCAAATGGGAAGCCACAAAACTATGCCGATGTCCAGACCACAGGGAAAATCTGACCTGGAAAAATATAAATAACAATACCAGCAATATTGTGTCCAAAATGTAGACACGCACACAGGTGATTAATATTGGAGAGTCCAGGACAACACCTGTTCAAACAAAGCGTGCTAAAAACCAAGGCGTTAAATTTCAGTGAATAAATTCTGACAACGGAGCGGTGCGTCATCTTTGAACAGGTTTTTTTTTTCCTTTTCTTTTCTCCCTGTGCTGGTGCGGTTCATGGAAAAAGAAACATAATGCAGCTGCTTATTTCAACGTGATGCAATGTAGACAGATCCTGCGAGACATGCAGGCAGAGGCTGGAGATGCGAGCTATCCTCAAATCAGAGATGGTGGCAGAGCAAATAAACTGTTCACCGCCTCCAGCGGGCGGCTTGCAAAGGAGCCGGCGGGGACCTTTTGCACAGATGTTTGAAGAGTAACTCCTC